CGTCTCTGGCTGTCCCCCTATACTTGTGACCCAATCTGCAGAGAAGAGCACCCTTGGGTTCAGATGCTTTGTGTGCTGCTGTGGAGGACTTTTGCACTAATATTGCAGGATGTGACCTGGGGCTGGGACACCATGCACGTGGTGTGGTGTGGGCAGGGAGGCAGCTTGTGGTCCACATAAGCTCTGTGCAGCTTGGGAAAAGTGAGAGAGTAATCCCTGCATGCAGCTGGATTGCATGCAGTGGTGATGCAGGTTTTGCCTTCTGACAGGTCAGGACCAGGCAGTGTCCTGGTTGGGGTCAGCCTCTGGATGTCACTGAGTCCGTGGCACATGGTCTCCTCCAAAAGTTGTACCTCGTCTTCCCTGGAGAGCCCAGTCTCATGGGAGCTTCTGCTTCACCAGTTGTGCATCTTTAAAGCAAACGGGCTTTCTGCAAATTGATATTGCCACTGATAATGTCTCAGGCCGTGTCTTGGTGGGTTCCACCTGGGCTCCTGTGGGCCTAACAACAGCATCAGGGTTTGCAACTGGCCTCTCTGAATCCCCTCTATTCCAAAGAAAAGGAGAAAGAAGAGGTGAAGGCAGACTTGTGGGGGCAGACCATGGTCTGCTCCATGTGCCTCTGCCTGTCCCAGTCACTCTGAATACTCTGTGTTTGCCTCCCAGCTCTGCCAACTTCCTGGACACCAGGCACTGTCACTGGGCAAAACCACGTGAATTATTTGAGACGCTGCCCTGCACCCAGTCCCAGATAGCACCCTCATGCCAGTGGTACTGGCCTGGGAAGATGTATTTCTTTGTGCTATCAGTGCACCTACACCCCATCGAGGCAGCCCTACGAAACAATGCCACTATTTACACTTTAAAGCCTCATTAGGCAGCCAGGAAACAGGCATGGAGCATTCCGGGAAGCTCCGGCTGCCTTTAGCGAAGGCTGGCCTCTTTTCTTCCCGGGCTGCTGGGAGGAGCAGGACACTCTCCGGCTGAGCTGTAACCCTGCGGCCCCTTTCAAGCCCCACTTCTTCATTTTTTTTCATAATTTATGTTTTTAGCCTCTGCCTTGTTGGTGAGCTTTGCTGGTTACACAGAGAGCACACTGGCTGCCCAGACAGGGATGGCTCCTGTCTGGTAGCGGGGCACCAATTCCTGCCAGCAGCCACAGGTATAGGAGGAACAAGAGGATGCTGCTTTGCCTTTGTCCATCAAAGAGCAGTACTTTGCTATTTGATGATGAACTGAAGTTATGGGAGTTCAGGCAGGGCTTTTCTCCCTGCTTTCCATGTCCCCTGCCCAGGCAGGCCACTCCATGGTGCTGGTCTTGGCTCACAGTACCCTGCTATCTCCTGGCTGTGTTGGCTCTGTGAGGTGTCCACCGTTCTTTTGGTGCCTTGGGAAATTTGGTGTTCCTCAGCTCTGTGAACTTGGCTGGGATGTGAATCATTCCTGTTCCAGCAAACCCACCAGAGAGCGCACCAGAAGAGCTTTCCTCATAGGGCTGATAGTTCACAAGCAGGAACAGCAAAGGAGAAGGCACGTGGAGGGTTGGGCAGTGCTGGGCTGTACATGAGTCACGGGCAGAGCACCTGCTTTCTGTTCCCTGGGCAGTCACCCACCTGGGCCTGTTTACTTGCCCACGCTTTTGCGGCAGGTCTGTGGACCTGGCCTCGGCTGAGGATGCTGAGCTGTGAGATCCCTTCCTGGGGTTCCCTTCTCCCACGCCTCCACGCTGAAGAGGAGCCATGGAGCCACCCACCTGGCCACAAGCACTGCGCTGTTTGCCCAGACCTGCCTGGGCTGGTAGATCAGCAGCTGCAGCGTCAGCCTGGTTTTTTCCCTTGCTGAATGTTTTTGTGTCTCTGAGCCAGCACCTTTGAGCGGTCACAGGAAGCATCTCATGTTGCCTTGTGTTCCACAGGGGCATTGCATGCTCAGCCACCAAGCAGCATCCCTGTTTGCACGAAGCCTGCCTACATCACCTGTCCTGTGCTCAAAGCAGGAGGCAGAGCAGGAGTGTGCAGAGAGAGTAGCTAGGGCCAGGCACTTGGGATGGGCCACATCCTGTGTGTCAGTGTCACTGCACCTGGCTGGACAGGGCTTGCAGGCAGCTGGGGCAGTATGAAGAAAAGAGGTGGTGATGGAGGGATGTCACAGACCAGGCATCATGACCTATGTGTGAGTAAAAGTTATTGTTTCTGCTGCTGTAAAGTAATTGTGTTACTTCATGTAATGTGTGCAGTGTGTCTACAGTGAATGCAGTATTTGGACAGCTTGTATCAAATCCTGAGGCTATAGTTAGTGTTACTTCAAACCACTGCATCCAGTGACATATTTTACGCTGCATTAAAAATAATACTTAGGATGCCAGTCTTGCTGGCATAACAGGCTTCTCTCCACTCCTAGATCCTGACACAGGTCACTCAGAGCTCCAAAAGCAGGGCGTCTCCATATAAACCTGCTGGGAAAGCCCCAGGATGGAAGTGGAGCCTTGGATAGAAGTGATGGCCTGGCTCATCTGCTGTCCCACCTCCAGCAGCAAGGAGCTAGGGAAGAGCATGAGAAGCACAAAGGATGGAGAGTGATATGTCTCCCTGGTCTCACCACCCCAGGAGATCTCCGTACATCCTGAAAAACAAGATGGGGACTGAGGACAGCGAGAAGCCTTGGGAATTTAGTCTTCCTATGTCTCATCAGTGAATAAAAACAGAATTGAAGGATGAGACCTGCTGGGTCTGCTTTTTTTCTGCCCCTCAGGACATGATGACCAGCAGTGCTTCAGCCACTGCTGTCTCTGCCTAATGAAATAGTTTGTTTTCAACAGAAGTTTGGGAGTTTTGAGAAGTTTCCTATGTGCTGAACATGCTTCAGTGTCATGTTGTATAACAACAGAATGGAGGAAATAGAAATGCTGTGTTTCTAGTACAGTTTGGGCTGAATTGTCTGTTAGGCACAAGTTGATGTGGATAAAGCAGAAAGCAAAAACCCCTCTGCAGCAGCAACTGACTAGCACCAAACTCCCTATTAAAACTTGTTTTATCTATGAAAACATTCAGTAAGAGCAAGGGGCTGACACTGTTAGCAGCCATATGAGAAATTGTGCCATGTCCCACTTATCCTCACCGCAGGCGGGCAGGAGTGGGAACGGTGAGCCACAGCTGAGTGGCTGGGCTGGCTTCAGCCCCACAGGACTGGAGATCCTGCTGAATGCTGGAGAGGAGCTGGGTTCAGCTGCTGTGGGGAAATGTGATGAAAAGGCTCCAAGAAAATCAAGAAGTAAAACACTTACTTCCCCCGTTGCAAGTTGGATTTAATGCTTGGGAGGTGACCCCTTCTATTTTTGACCAGCCCTTGCTCAGCAGTGTGTGCAATCCCTGTGACTGCTGACTTGGGGTCCCAGATGGCTTGGCAGTGGTGAAGGTGATGCTTTGGTTATTCACCTCTGTTGGCTAATGAGCTCTTTTTTGCAACATGCTGGACATCTTGGGTCCCTGAGCTGATGGCACTGCTTTTCATTACTCATGTTTCTTACTCCTGTCTTGTATCCATCGTGGTCGAGCTGCTGCTCCAATCCTGCCCCTGCACCCTTCTGCACAGCGTGGCCGTGGAGTGGAACCTAGAGGGGCAGTGGCACGTCTGGCGCCTCTGGGGCGCTTCCTTGCCCTGCTGGGTTTGCTTTCTGCAGTACCGGGTGGCAATCCTGGCGGTTGGTGGGCGTTGGGAAGTGCCCGTCCCGGGGCTGTGTGCGGGCGGGCAGCCGACGGGGATCCCGCCTTGGCCCCGGCTGCAGCGGCAGCCCGGCACGGCCGGCTCCGGGGGAGACGTGTCTGTGCGCGGCGGGGCCGGCTGAGCCGGTGCAGCCGGAGCTGCCTGGCAGCTCGCCCGCTGCTGCGCCCCATCCAGGTCAGCCCGTCTGCCCGCCTGCCTGCCGGCAGGGAGGGAGCCGCGTGCCTCAGCAGCATCCTGGCGCAGCGTGCCGGGTCCTGCCGGCCGCGGGGTGCGGGAGCGCTGCTGGCAGCCGCTGCTCCCGGGAACCTGCCCTTGTGGTGGGAGCGGGCTGGTGAGCGTGGGAGCCCCTTGCTGCTCCTAAGGAACCTGGATGGGGCTGGCTCTGCCTGGCAAACCTAATGGCTTCTGTTCTGGGGCCCCAGGTTGTTTTCAGGACGTGTGGTGGTTTCACACAGTATGTGCTCCGTTGCAGACCCCATCACACGCCATACCCATCTATGGGCTCTTTGTCCTTTGCCCTGGTGCTGTGGTGGGCAGTGAGGCTTTGGGGTGGTTTGATCACAGCTGGGGGCTGGTGTGTGGGATCTCTCTGTCTGCCTGGATTCGGGTGGCCACTGGCCTGCCTGAGCAGCAGATGGTGGCTGCCTGGGGACCCGCTATCCATCCCTCTGGGCAATTATTCACCCGTCACCATGACGATAGAAAGGTCAGCAAAAAGATCCTGTGTGATTCCAGGGTCGGTCAGTGGGATTAGGAGCAGTGTGGGAGGGAGGGCTAGGGCCCAGCCAGCTCCTCTTCAGGCTCACCAGCTGGACTGTCCCCCTCGGGCACATCCTCAGAGCCCAGCTAGCTGAGAACTGACAAACTTTGGGTACCA